CTTCCACACACACACAACTGCCTGACCCCCCCCAGCCCCCCACTGTGCTTACAAGCACAACAACAAAATGAGCACTAACTCTGTCAAGTCAGCTCTCAATCACACGCGATGCAAAACAGATGCAAAGCTTGAAGCTAGGAGCAGTTGTCCTATCAAAGTGTACTGTAATAAAAATGAACCCATAGGGTCCCTTCATGGAGTACAGTGGACCCCGGCAATTCCTGCGGAATAAGAACCAGCCCGCACCGCGAATCATGCAAACCTGCATTTACTGTAAGTAAAAGCCATTATAAACGCATTGGTTTAGAAGCATATTCGTCATAAGAACAGCCAACAAAAGATGACTTTTTTTTTTTACACTTTACAGAATATAATTACGTTTTCACTAACTTTTGTGATAGGTGTATTTACATTTGCATGGCCATTAAGAATACTAATGTTCATTGTGCAGTGTTTGAAACCTCGACCGTACCATCGTACACTGATGACCCCCAGTCATGATACAGCAACTGACCTCACATTCTACAACTGGTATACACACGCACACACACACGCACACACACACACTTACATGCAGCACACAAACTATGACGGGTGACAGCTGCAGCATCTGCATTTCCAGCACCACCCCCTGACTCCAAGACCACCACCACCCTCCTGTTCACTCTTTCTCAACCATCCTCCAGACTCCTTCCCTCTGCTGTGAGTCTTCACTCTGCACCCAGGCCACAGGGTGAGTATCAGGTGAGCTTTTAAATAGCGGGGGCCTCTCCGAAATGACCTCAGGATCCCATGGGTCTACCCCTGTGGCCCCTGGCCTCTACACAATTGCGCACCCAACCTACACCCCCCCCCCACACACACACACATAGAAAACACACCAGAGAGAGAGAGATCTCATACGAAGGTTTCCAGCTTTTCCCAGAATTCAATTTCCATTACTATAAGGAAAAAAAAATGTATTGAGATCCAAACACATTGGATACATTGCAATGGAATATGACAGAGGTTCATCTTTGGAGCCCATGCTCAAGCTACATCGTAAAAACACTGCGGCTTCATCCTCAGTTTCAACTCCAACCTGTGTGGAAAGCTCCGGCTTCAAAAGGCCCATTCGCAAATTCTCTCCTCACCGTACCCTACCCCCCACAAAATCTGCACTGCCCAGCCTGAGCCACATCCCGGGCCGTCTTCGAACACGTGAGGGCCCGTCCTACAGGAAGGCCAATGTTTATGCGATACTGTTTTAATTAGACGCAGGTGGTGCCGCTATTTTCTTTACAATTTGGCCCGTGTTTGCCTGGACCCAGAATGCCGAGGGATGGCTCCGTTTTCCATTTTGCAGCCGGGTGGAGCTCTTAAAACCGAAAAAAAAAAAAAAAAATAGGGGTGGGGGGGCGTCTTATTTCTACTCCGTGCTGCATCATCACGGATACAGCTTAATAAGGGATAATCGAGAAATCCACATCTGCAACGTGATAATCAGAAGATGAGCAGAAAGCCAAGTCAGCTGGAGGTCGAGGACAAACAACAATACTACAACTTCCTGTTCCAGCAAATGACTTCCTGTGAGTGCCAGGGGTTGGCATAAACATGGCATTTATCCACACTGTCCAAGCAGGGAGCAAGGGTGGAATTGATAAAAAAAAAAAAATCCTTTGCAAAATATTTGGCACTGAGGTTTTACACATTCACCTCTTTGTGTAAGCAAGCCTCTCCATCCACATCACTCTCTGTCGCTTTGTCTAATAAACACAACTTCCTGTGTCAGGGTGCTTATAAACAGTGCCGTGAGTGAGGAGACTAACTCGGGTTAAAAAAAAAAAAAAAAAGTGCAGCACGTGATGACCCACATGCCACCAGGACAGATACCACACAGGGAAAAATGGGAAAAGCTCACACTTAAAACATTTGACAGCAATCAGGCCAATTAATAGAGTATATAATAAATTCAAAAACAGGAAAACAGGGTCCTGCAATTGGCTGGCGACCTGTCAAGGGGGTACCATGCCTCTCACCAGACCACCGGAATAGGCTCCAGCTCACTTGCTACCCTAAGTGCTATAGAAAATGGATGGATGGACCCCCTGCCCCCTGCACAGTGTTCCATGAGACCATATGTGGACAACATTGCAGTTACATTGTGATGCCTTACAGATACAATGTTTCCAAGTCCTTTTTAAGCATAAAAACCCTTTCAGCGTAGATCCATACAGTTTCATATAAAATCTCACATTATTCTCTAAAATGATCTATTTGGGGAAATTTTTATGCAGAAATGCAGGTTAGCAAGATGTTGTGGATTTTTAACTGTGGGTTTAGCGCTTTTCAAATATGGGCCAATGGTGCATTATCGCTGGCGACATCTAACGTACCACAATAATAAGAACAGAATGATCGTGGCTACTCATGACAGAAAATATTTAAAAAGGTACTGGTTCTAGTAAGAGGTCAGCCGCGGTTCTCATGTGGTATGGGTGAGTAAAGCAGATCGTAACATCTGAGGCTACATAGCTTTTGTTGTGCCTTCACAGTGGATGATGTAGTGTTTTACTATACTCTGCAAGTAGCCCCCTAGTTTCCTCTCAAATAAAATGACCACACACCGATCAATACAGTAATGACAGAAGACCTTCATTCTCCACTGCTGTTTGTTTGCATGTCTTGTTGCAGTCATGACTTCATTAAATGCCGCTCATAATCTTAAAACCAGGACGTATTGATTGCACGACGTGTATAACGCGTCATACATACCGGTACTGTATACAATATTTACATGACAATGCTGTCTTTAAAAGAAAAGTTAAAAATGAATAAATAAATAAATAAATAAAGGCAGTGCTTGTAGGTTGAGGCGGGTGCATGTGCATCCATCCACAGGCCCACACAGCTTCAAGGCGGGGTCGATCACGGGTCGGCTGCGGAGGGCAGCTCCAAATGAAACATAAACAGACGCTCCATACGCTCGTTCCCGCTCTCTTTCCTCTTGGATGACTTGGCCAGGACACCCCACATCACCACCACCACAACCAATGCACGGCATTCCACGGTCCAGGCAGAACTAATCTATCCCTCAGCTGTGTAGTCTAATCTAAACAAACACATCTCTCCCTACCAACATCTGGAACCCCTCACGTACGGGACCTAGGAAACCACTGAGGCCTGGTCTTTGTGTGCATGTGTGTTTGAGTGTCCAGGTCAGTCAGACAGTAAAAGTAGATAATGTAGACATCTAGCGGCAGTTTTTGTGTATCTGATGCTCAACAAAACAACTCAAACCAACCACTTTAAACCTGATAAGAGCTTAAGTACACGTTATGAGGCAATCGTTGTTGATCTACTTAAGTCCTGTAGGTGTCGGTAGTGTGCATTATCTGTGGATTTGGAGTGCTAAAAATAATGCAAATCAAAAAGCTATGTGCTTATTTTCCCTTTCGGACGCAATATTCCAACACGTGCTGGCAACTTTGTGTTGCCTTCAATAACGCATTTGACAATCGTCTAATGTTTGGAAGTATTTTTACTTTTTAAAGGGTAATTGTGGTTAAATAATGAGTCTGGTCGACTGGTTAGCACGTCGGCCTCACAGGTGCAGAGGCGCGGGGTTCGATTCCAGCTCCGGCCTTCATGTGTGGAGTTTGCATGTTCTCCCTGTGCTTGTGTGGGTTTTCTCCGGGTACTCCAGTTCCCTCCCACATTCCAAAAACATGCACAACAGGTAAATGGAACACTTAAAATTGTCCCTAGGTGGGAGTGTGAGTGCCGATGGTTTTTCGTCTGTGTGTGCCCTGCGATTGGCTGACAACCAGTTCAGTGTTTACCCCATCTACTGCCCGAAGACAGCTGGGAGAGGCTCCAGCACGCCCGCGACCCTCGTGAGGATAAGTGGATTAGAAAATGGATGGATGGATAATGAGCCTGGGACACCTGCACAAATGACAGCCTGATTCCAAATGAAACTGAAATAAATGCAGACTTGGATAAAGCTATGTGGTCATCCGCAGAGCCATTTGAATCCCTCCAAAATCAACAGGTAACAGCCTGAATCATCTTAAAAATCAAGGAGCTGCTGTAGATTTATCCCTTCTTTTCCTGCTTTCAGTCAGATGTGATCCGCAGGTATTTGCTGGTCTTCACAAAAAGTAAGAAAAATATCATTTGAATCACTAACCTGACTGCAGTATAGTTTCTCGGTCCATGAAATGAACGTGGCCAGTGCTGTAGAATGGCCAACTACGAATGCGAAACCGCATTTTTTGCGGGCATCTTGATTCCAAATATATTGTTGTTTAATGTATATGGAGTAGAAAAATGTGCTCTTCCATTCATGAATGGGCCAGATGACTGTGCTGGAATGTGGATCAAAGGAAAGAAGGAAAAAAAAAAGCACAGCCGCTGGCACCCCCACTTCTCCAGCACCGCCTCTCCAACAACACCACCCATGCACAACCTTTTCTCCTTTTTTTTTGTCCGCTATATCTTTCATTGCTTATATTTTCTCTTGGAGCAACAACAAGCGAGATCCGCCTAACAAACATGAGTTCCTGTCCTCACTTAAGCGGCTTCTCGCTCTCTCGCTCTCTCTTATTTCCCCCTCCTTTCCCCTTCCCCTTGCAGCCGGAGGCAAATCTTTTTGGAAAGTTGAGAGCTGTCCAAAACGGGACCACACACACAGTCTGTGAGCATTCAACTGCTGGGGGCAGGCACACACACACACACAAAGACACACACATACACACTCTCACACAAAATGGCGGCTTGGCAAAAACGGAGAAATAAAAAAAATCGTCTGCCACAAAAGCAGCTTGGGAACTTAATTACAACATTTGCAGAAGTGGCGAGGATGTTCTGATGATTGCATTTATTCCAAACGTTTGGACTGAACGCAAACAACAACATGGCCATAAATATGGTTTTGTTTGGTCCGTTCCATCAAAGGGATCAACTCGCCCAAAAAGAAACCAACAAAAAAAAAAAAAATGGAAGAAAGAGCGTCTTACCTTCCACCCAAAGCTTCTCCACGTCCGTCTCCAAATTAGCCGCACGTAAGCCCACCGCGAAGGCTCCGAAAATCATAAGGCCCACCACCAAAAACTTTCCACAGTTCTTTTGTATGTAGCAGCCCAGCCTGAATAAAAGTCTCTGGAACTTTGCTCTCAGCCATAGCGGTGCTTTCCTTCCAGTCGCCTTGCCCTACAGAAAAAAAGAAGGATACCAAAGAGCAAGCATTACAGTATTGTCCGCTTCAACTGAGAAACAATGCACTTGGTTGCACAGGTGAGTCATACACAACTTTGACTGCCTTTGCCATTGATTGGGTTGAAGGAGTTGCAAAGTATCCCTTTGGATCACTTGTAACCATCTACGAGTGTTTCAACAGAGTTCAGTTTCTATGGGAGCAACGTCAACCTAAATTTGTACTTCAATCACGACGGAGTTTATCACTAACCTACCCGAACTCAGAAGTAAAGTCAAAATGACAATAAATATTTGGATGGAAAACTCTTCTAAGGCCTGAACGTGCCTTCCTGTGCCACGACATATTCTTACGCCGCAGCACTGACGAATTTGTTGCGTGCCGTTTGTAAACTTGAAACTTGGATTATGTCAGGACTGTAGTAAACCAAGTATCGTCTTCCCCTGTCAGCTATTTGGTTAAGGATTCTTCTTGCACCTATGGAACCGAATGTCCTTGGGATTTTAGGATTCATTTCCAAATTGTGTCACCGCCATGTCGGCAGAGTTCAACATATTAGACCCCGCCCCCATATAGGGGAACCTCCAAAGTTGAACATAATCTTCTGTGACACTTGATGACTTGAAAGTTGCTCTCGTTTGAAATGATGTTAAGTGATACAATTGCGACTGTCTTAAAACCTTTATTCATGCAACAGGCGCCGCTTTTCTTCACTTTCATAATAATGAAAACACAAATTAAGCCAATAAAATAAAAACTCAGGTAAAACAACTTGCTCATTTACAAAATAAAACTAAATGGAGAGGGATCGCACAAAGCGTTGACATAGTGATATCGAGGTATTGCTTTACTAGCGTTGCATCGTACGTAGTATATTTAGCACCTGCTTGGTGTAGGTACTTTGTGCATTAAACTGATATTTGATCATACTGCTCATGGTTAGCAGCCAGGTGCTTTTCATATGTCTGCATCAATTCAATTTCCTGCTCTATGGTTATCGTCACTGGTAACCTTCTGTAATGGATTCACAAAACAGCCATAAAAAGACACAAAAATAGATTAAACAGAAACACACAGTTTAGATGCTTACTAAGGTGAAGTCGACAGGTACGGTTTAATTTTGGAGGCTTAAATCCCGGTTATGCTTCATTTTAACCACTTTTAAGGCATGCTGGAGCCTATCCCAGCTGTCTCCGGGCAGTCGGCGGGGGACACCCTGAACCGGTTGCCAGCCAATCACGGGGCACACAGAGACGAAAAACCATCCACGTTCACACTCGCACCTAGGGACAACTTGGAATGTTTCATTAACCTCTCATGGCTGTTTTTGGAATGTGGGAGAAAACCGGATGACCCGGAGAAAACCCACGCAGGCACGGGGAGAACATGCAAACTCCACACAGGAAGGTCGGAGCTGGAATCGAACCCAGTACCTCTGCACTGTGAGGTTGACGCACTAACCACTGGACCACCACCGGGCGTCTGTATTAAAGCATTTCAAAGCAAATTCACAGACTAAATCGCAAACTCGCTAGGCAATGAGCTTGAAAGCAGCATTTGTGACAGTCCAAAAGTACCTCACACGTGCTGGCACACACCAGAGGCACATTTCCAAAGCGTAACAGTAACAAAAAACGACGAGTGACAGTAAGTACGAGTCCAAACGAACGCTTGCAGCTGGACCTCCGGCTTGGGTTCGGGGTGGGGGGGTTAAATAAAAGCTGTCAAGGTCTACAACGCGATGCGTTGTGCAATAAAAGGGGGATTCAGTACAGAGAAGGGTGCATTGCATTGCTTTGCATGTGGTCCAACTGGTGCTGGGGGGGGGGGCGCGAAGCACATGGACTTCCACGCTGGTGCACAACACGCAGGCTCGTGATATAACGACAAAACGTTATGTGTTTGGAAAACAAGAGGAAGGGCTCTAAACAAGCTTGTGGGGAGCGGGTGCAAGGGGGTGTAAACAACAAGCCGGTGGACGTGGGTGTTCTGTGCTTCTAAATGGAAAGAAGTACCTGGGAGATCTGCTCCAAAGCGAAGCCCGCGTCGCAGTAGCTCGGCCGCTGCAGGTAGTCCAAATCCGGCGGCGCAGACGGCTGCGGTGGCGGCTCGCGGCTCGAGTCCCTCCGGGTCCTCCGCGTTAGCCTCGGCCGGCCGGGTTCTCCTGTCCCCGGCTCGGGGGGCGCACTAGCAGCCGAGGCCATGTTGCGGGGACTGCGCGCTGCTTACCGATTCCCACTTACGATCCGACAAAGTTTCACTCGGAGGGGGGACCTCATCGTCCGCTTGGAGAGGGCGAGTCAAAGTAGAGCGCGCCGTCCATCCCCACATCGCGTGATCCGGTAAGGTCTCCACCGCCTTTTGCACCGCGTTTTCCAAACCCGTGAGGCACAGCGACAACAACAAAGCGGGCGAATAGAAAAACACAGGAAAACAATAAGAGTGTCTCTCAGAACGAGCCGCACGCCAGATCGCTGGACGCTTCTCGCTGCATTTTGCGGAGATGTGTGCTGCTGCTCGTCTTCCCCTGGGCCGCGCGTCACGGCCAACTCTGACTTTGAATAGAAGAGCAGAAAAAGAGCTCCAGGAGTAAGAGGAGGAGGAGGAGGAGGGGTGGAAAAGGAGGGACAAGAGGGAGGGTGAGGGGGCCTGAAAACACACACACACACACACACACACACACACACACACACACACACGCACACACACACACACACACACACGCACACACATAGTCAAGATCCCGCCTCTCGCCGCTGTCACACCGCACGGTTTGCTCGCTTCTGATTGGTTCCAGAAGGGCAAAAATTACTCAACAAACACGACTATTATTAGCTGCTTAGCAACAGCTCGCTAACGTAAAGGAGGGGAGGAGGACCACCCACGCAGGGAGGGGAGGTGGGGTGCATGGGGATGCCCAACCTTCAGTAAATCTGTTTGTTACACGTAGCTAAGTTGTAGTTTATATTAGGAGGGGGTTAACGTTGAAAGTAAACACTTATCCCCCCAGAGAGACTACAATTGCACGTGAATTAAAAAAAAAATCATTTTTAGCGCCTAGCCAAAAGAGAATGCTACTGTTCTGCGTTATTTAGCGCTGTAGCTAACTATACTGCTCCGCTGACAAATATACTATGTAACACCCACATACTGTTACAATACAGACAATAAATATAAAAAAAACTTGATAAGAGCTCAAAAAAATCTGTCATTGTGAAAATATTTTCTGAATTTTTTTTGTACTTTTACCCCTAATATGTCATTTTGGATACTATCAAGGAACTTTAACATCTCACTGTGAAATATCACCGTTTTCAAGTGGCTGGCGTCAAGTTGGATTGGATTGTACTGTATCAAGCAATCTACATTAACGCCACCCGCAGGCCGTGAGTGGTACTTCAATGACCACATTGTTAATACAGTATTGCATTGTTAATACAAGGGTGGACAATGGTGAGTGATCAATTAATTTACCATACATGTTTTTAGAATATTGGAGGAATCCATAGTACCCAAAGGACAGTCACACAGGAATGGGGAGAACATGCAAACTGCACACAACAAGGCCAGGAATCGAACCCATGATCTCTGCACTGTGAGGGGGAAGTGCTAACCAGTCGACCACAGTGCCCCCCCCCCTCTAAATAAGATTATTATTATGTTATTATAGTGATGTTAAATGTCATTTCAATATTGAATCTGATTTAGAATCTTAAGATGAAACATGCATCACAGCATCATTTTTGGAATGAAGGAGAGTAATTTAGTAATCCAACACATCCATTAAAAAAATGTATCCGTCCATTTTTAATCCAGTTTATGGTCACTTGGCTCTCAGGTGATCTGAGATAGGATTAAATGCAATGTTTTTTTTTTAACTTTTACTTCAGTGTGAATTTTTTTAAAATATAATACATTAATTTAGTTGGTGGAAAATTGGTGTCAAAACAACTTCACCTAAATGTCCCCTACTGCCCACCCAAGGCAAACCCAGATCAGCGGGATGTAACTCTCTCAGGAGTCACATCCGCTTTGCAGCATATCCATGTGAGACATGCTATTATCATGACGGTAACGCAGCAGGAGGCCATCAGGTTGCGGGAAATGTGAGAACAGGTCGTTGGCATTAAGGGAAAATAAGCATAGTGTGGCGGCTGTAAAGATATGCCTATAAAATGTGCTGGAAGATTATATTGCGAGCATCTGTGTGAACTAATAGAATACACGTGAGATTAGAATTAACCACCACATGTCCAGCTGCTAACTAGGGCTGGGTTTAAAAAAAATCGATGAATCAAAACAAATTGATTCTCGTATTTCAAAGCTCGATATCGATTCATTCATAAAACGGTTGGAAAATCGGTAAATACAAAGCTGCTAAATTGGCAACATTGAATAGGCACTGACTTCATCAGGTCATGTGAACCAAACCCCTACTCAGCATTTGCATGAGACAGTGCTGCCCCACAAGGTGATATGCTTTTAACCATTTTTTTAAAGGGAAAAATGTCAGAGGACTTTTTTTAAAGATACCTGGAAACTATTTTAAATTGTGAAATGCATAAGATAAAATAAAAGATAAGGTTACATTTTTTGCGCACGATTACTCAAGTGTTGAACATTTGAAGGTAGGGGTCTCTTCCGGCTTACATTCTTGTAAATTGACTCACCAACTCAAAGCCTGAAGGTTTAAACATTTTGTCGAAGAGTCAAAGCACTCTCACCACTTCCTGGATCTGTCACCATTCATATTTATCTCGTCCTCCTCCAGACCGATCCACATGGATTTCTTAATGAGGTAGTATACGAAGTAGGAGCCGGAGCGCTTTGGGCGCACATCCCGGAATGACTTCATTAGCCCACCACCTTGGCCGACCCCGGGCAGGGTCATTTATTGCCCTTGAGGCGGGTGGCTGGAGTGCAGCCATGGGAAAAAAGTAGAACGATGTTGATTAACACGCACGCCTACTTATGATTTGCAGGTGGATTACAGTTGACAGTGGAGGTGAGCCAACATTTTGATAATGCTTAATTCAAACATTTTTGGCCATTACAACTGCAGCAGAATAAAACATTTTCCCACAGAAAACAGCTTCATGAGACCACCTGGGATGGATGTAAGAGTAGAACGACGTTGTTATTATCAACCAATGATGATTTGTGCGGCAATATTTGATATCTAATAGCAGGTAGGAGATGTTTAATGTTTATTTTATTTGAAAAATGTAAAATTATTTCATAATGGCATTTGAAAGCTACTTTAAAAATCATATTTGAAATTGTATTGTAAAAAACATCAAAATATACAATTGCATTATGTTTTACAACACAGTTGACTGTATTTTGTATTTAATTCCAATCTAAACTGCAAATAATTTGATAGCATTAAATTTTATTTTGCTGTGATTAAAAACAAAAATAATAATCAATCACTTACCGGTAAGTCATTGGGTTAGTTAGTGGTTCATAGCCATTTACAGTGCAAGGAACCATATTGATTAAAAATGTATGATTAAAGATAATACATAACAGTTAATTTTTTTGGAGAGATAAAACTGTAAAAAAAAAATCCACATTTAACAAATGACAAAAATAAATGAATAAATAAAAATAATTCAGCCCACCGATTCCAAGTGGCTCAATTCAACTCCAGAGCAATTTGGGTCCAATTTTTTTTTGTCTTTTAGTTTTGAATGAGTTGTCATATCAATTCCAATGCATCCACTTCCATAGAAATGTGCAGCTTTGCCAACCATAACTTTGGGAAGATTATTACCTGTACATTTTGATTTATAAATTCTGAATTGGCAAAAGGTGATTCATTTAATTAATTAAAATTTTTTTCTGCTCACTTGACAAGACAAAATTCATGCAATGCAATGGGAAGGACGTGTATTAATGGTTGTTTTGCAGGCTAAACTGGACAAAAAAATACGAGGACAAAGCAGCAACTCACCCTAACATTGTTACCCTTACTCCAGTAATCATGCCACGTGGTGGCGACATCACAATGGAATCTAATCGGTGCGCCGTTTATCGATGCAATGACAGATTTTGTCAAGCAAATCAAGTCGTGTGTTTCCCTCCTTGTGAAATGTTGCTTTGTTTGAGTGTCGGCCGTAGCAACGGAGGTAAAAGTCCAGATAAGATGCAATCGCTAATAATGTGGAAAATACATGTCGTAACTGGAAAACTGTTGCAGGCGGCCGTGTGGTGCCCGAGCAAAGTGACTGAGCTAAATGATTTGTGTGTGTGTATATATATATAGTGTGTGTGTGTGTGTGTGTGTGTGTGTGTATATATATATACATCTATATATATATATCTATATAGATATATATATAGATATAGATAGATAGATAGATAGATAAAACTCACTGACGGACTGGTGGGTGATGAAATTTACTGACGGAAGCAATGACGGAAGCGCGGTTTAAATAACGTGACGGACTGATGATGACAGACAGGTACTCAGTCTGCTGACAGATGACGAATGATAGACTGGCAAAATTGTATCACGTGTCCACCTCTGAAATCAAGGTACCATTGTTTGTGCTGCAGGCTGTTAAAAAATGGCCGCAAACTGTGTACTTGGACTAGCTACACGCCTCAGTGCATGCCCATTTGAAGCCCTCTGCTGGTACCATTTGCAATAATTCTTCCGTGTCATAGAAAGCCACCCCTCCTTCCTCAGGCTCACCTCATGGCCGCCTTGTGAAGCGGTGAAGAGTGCAAATGAAGTGCCTGCGGGGATGTTTATGTTCCAACTCAAGGTTGTCTTCAATCATACGCGGAGCTGTTTGACAGCTTGCAGCAGCGGCGGCCGACTTGTGTTTACCTTTCCTAATTTCTGGCTTTGTGCTCACAATCAGTGGAGGAATCCAACATGGCAACGCTTTGCGAGACGAGGGCCGAGGAATGTTTTCTGGAGGTAAATTCAAAGTGGGTAAATATTTATCTTGTATATGCTTGCATTGTGTCTCCCCCCCAAAAGGGTTTAGTGAAAACAGAGGATTCCTTCGGAAGGTACTGTACCATAATGCATTCCATCTTCGATTTGGTCCACTTTCCATTGAGATTAATTGTAGTTCAGGGGTCTGCAACCTGCGGCTTCGGAGCCACATGCGGCTCTTTTATCCTTATGTTGCGGATGGAAGTGTATGCTTCCGATGAAATCACACTTCGGGACAATTTAGAGCAGTGGTTCTTAACCTGGGTTCGATGAATCGGTCTCAGGGGTTCGACGGAGCCTCTGCCATGGAGGTTAAGACACACCCAACTCAACATGTAAATTAGTTATGACACGTCCACCTGGCCATCACTGGCTGCAGATGATCACATTACATTGCTTTTCCAATTAGCGCTGTGGGACCGTGTTACATAAAAAAACAGCAGCAACAAAACAAGCAAACCATTTTTAATGCTGCCTGAAATAAGGTCAAGTGCAGAATACTTTTCACTCTGGTATGACTTCTCTCTGCGTAGGTTCTGTTTCTAGTGACTATCGAAGGTTATTCAGAGCCTCTGGTGAATTCACATGGCGGCGCAACGCTCCACATGGGCCAATATTTACCTTAACTTTT